ACAAAGGAGAGGGAAGGGGATAGGAAGGATGGGACAAGCAAAAAAGTGAAAACAGAAACAAAGGGTTTGTATATAGGGAGGGGAGGGGGTCAAAGGGAAGGAACAATGGAAAAAACAAGAGGCGGGGTATAACACGTACAGGTGCAAATTTCCCAGTGGTGAGTGTTATCATTTTATATATAAGATCTACCAATAAATGTTTTGGTTTAAATAAAAACAAACAAACAGAGAAAGAAAAACATACAAAAAGCATCTTGTCTATATAGAGAGACCAGAAAAATATTTTTCCAAAAACAAGAAAACAAACAAGGTACAAGAGATTTAGCTCAGTGGTACTGCACCTGCCTTGTAAGATCAAGGTCCAGAGTTCAATCCCCAGAACAAAAAAACAAAATGAAAAAATGATAACCCCCACTGACCTGCATATTTCTAATCACTTTCCCTTTCCAGTTTTCCCATTTAAGTGAGACCACTAAAAAATGAATCACTTTTATGACTTGTCAGCAGCAACAAGATTTCCACTTATTATGAGATGAGGTTGTTCTGTTTAAATTTTAAAATAAAGCCTATTTCCAAGGCAAATGTTGCTGTCTTGTGTTGTTTTACACTAAGGAAGGGGAGGAAAAAATACTTTGATAGAAATAATATCAGAAAAAAGAAAAGGCTTACTTCTTAAAACTTCAGTGTTTTCACAAATATTGCCATAACTTCATAAAAGCAACCTTTATCCTCTAGTGTTTCTTTAACATTATCAACATTTAAAGTGAAATCTTTAACTATTAAATTATTTTAAATATTGTGTTTTTATTCATGGAACGCTTGAGCTTATGAAAAACTGACCCTAGCTGTATGTCACTGTTAACATGCGTCTACTTCAAATACCTTGGAAAAGCAATTGGTTGATCTATACCTTATTTTTGGCCTCAGTATCTGCATGGTGGGAAAGCAGTTTTGCCGCTATTGATGAGTTTTCCCAATAGACTGCATAGTGGAGAGCAGTGTTGCCGCTGGCATCTGCAACATTCGGATTGGCACCGTGCTCCAAGAGGATAGTTGCACACTCTTCCTGGTGGTATTGTACAGCCTGTGGGTATTGTAAGAAGAGAATGTCAACTCCGGGAACTCAAAAGAGACCTTCCTCATGCCTCACCAAGTAGTGATATTAAATGACATCAATTAAATTTTATTTCAGCAATTAAATGCAATCCATCTCATGCTGAAATTGGTGCCTGCTACCCACCTTAATCAGGGCAGTACTGTTTTCCCTATCACGGGCGTCGATGTCACACTTATGCTCCACCAGGAGAGTCACCACTTCGGGATGGCCATAGACACAGGCAAAATGCAAAGCAGTCCTATGACAGTGAGAAAGATTCTTAGGAAATTGCAGAGCTCTATTTCAAAATGCACCATTATTCTTGTAAGGGGGAACATTAAATAGTCTTCAACACAAATAGCTAATTTTCTTCTAAAATGTACAATACTTATTACTCACCAATTCATGGAAGTGCAGCCAGGTGATTTTGTTTGTTTGTGTGGTGCACGGATGGGAGCCAGGATCTTGCCCACACTAAGTAAGAGCTCTATACTGAGCCACAACAGCCTTCCCATCCCAGAGCAGCGTACTGTTACAGAAAGACCAAGTTTTGGATTGAGTTCAACTTGGATTTAATATTTCATTTAAGTTCTTACTTTCTACCTATCTTTGAGCCTTTCTATGCCTCAACTTTCTCACCTACAAAATGATGAATGAAGTTATCTCACAGTATATTACTGTGTTGGTTAAATAAGAATCCATACAAAATATTTAGCACTATTTCTAGAACAAATAACAATAATCATTAGATGTTGTAATCACTACTTAAGAAAGACAGCATTTCAATTAAGTAAAATAAATCATTTGTAGAAGAAGGTGCAACTATCCATGTTCAGCACTCAACCTTTGCATACGAATCCCAATTCACTGAGTCAGTGCTGCCACGAATAAAATTGCTTCCTGGGAAAATGGACTCAACATCTCATCTCTGTACACGAAAATCCTGCAGAAGTGCACTGAAAAAGCGTTCTTCATACAAAGTCATCACATAATCCATCGTGCCATACATTAAGTAAAATATGATACAGCAACAGTTCTATGGCAGCAGGGGCCACATGGTTGGTATTTAAAAACTACTACAAGGAAAGAGGGCTAAATAACAAAGTAAAATAATATAAAATAACAACCCTTAGTTTGATTTTCATTTTAACCTGAATAGAACACAGGTTTCAAATGAGTAGGTACAGCCCATTTTATTCAGTATTTATATTTATAGAGTGCACAGAAATCAAATATTTCTAAGGCTTAATATGAGCTTTTAGTACTGTTTCTCAGTTTCAAGAGTCTTTAGACCCCCCCTCTAATCTGTCCCCCCTCCTCATCCCCTCCTCACCCTCTCGGGCCCTCCCCCTGCCTGCCTCTCCCCTTCCTCACCCTGTCCAGCCCTCCAACCTTGGACCTGCCACTGCTCCTGCACCTTCCCAGCCCCACCTGCACGCCCTCCCCTGAAGCCCCGTTACCTGTGCTTCTTGTCTCTGTCATTGACACCATTTTTCCTCAGCAAGAGGCTCCAGTCCACTTTCGTCGTGTCGCCCCCACTGGCGGCCTTGTGTAGCTTGTCCACGGCCTTGGGGCGGGCTCTGTGCTGCAGATCCCCGCAGCTGCCCTGTAGGCCTGAGGGGTCTGAGGGAACCCGGCCCCTACTACTGAGGCCAAATAGCCTCCTAATGGCTGAGGCTATCAACATCCTAGCCCTCCCGTCAGCCTTTCTCCAATGAAAAGTTTAGCTAACTGAGCTTGCAGAACAAATTCTAGGCTCTGCTGCTGGATTCCAACCGGGTGGAATCTCTGTTACCAAGCAAAAGGACGAAGGGCCTCTGAGCCTGTGGCGCATGCTCACCAGGCTTAACTGCCTCTGCGCATGCGTCGCATGCTGCGCATACGCACCAGGCCTAACTGCCTCTGCGCATGTGGCACATGCTCACGAGGCCTTCTCAGTACATAGATGCACCGGTCCACGTGGGACTTCTTCCTTTCCTGTATATTATTTTTATTTCTTTCTCTTGCCTGAGTTCTCTGCATAATGTTTTAAGAATTATAGTGAGAAGGAATGGTGACATTGGACATCCTTATCTTGTTCCTATTTTAGAGGCAAAGCATTCTTCTTCTTCTCACTTAATATGATGGTGATTGTTGGTTTGTCCTAAATTGGCCTTTGTCAGTTTGAGATGAGATCTTTCTACAACTGTTTGCTTCAGTGATTTTTTTTTAATATCACGAATGGATGTTGTTTTTTTGTCAAATGCTTTTTCACCATCCATTGAGATTATCATGTGATTTGTCCTTATTTTTGTTTATATTGTGTATTACTTTTATTGCTTTGTATATATTGAAAAGTCTACCTGTGCCCCTGGAATGAGCCTTGTTCATGATGTACATTTTTGATAATTTCTT